TTTGAAGTAAACCATTGTTCTCTTCAAAAAAATAAATAAACAGCTACAGCACTACGCACCTTTCTTTGTCTGCTACGGTTTTAAAAGCAGTTTTAAAAATCGTGGTTTACAGATGGAGAAACAATTTTTTTATGTTGCGTCTCTCACCTTCCCACTCTGATTGCACACCTCATTTGGAAAGGTGGCTAGAAACAGCATTTTCAAATAAATAAATATTTTTATCCATCGCATGCTCTCCTTTTTGTTAACCCTCATTTCAGGAGCACATAATACAGCGGTGAGGATAAAGCGGACATTGTTGTCTGCAAAAGGACTTGGGCACGTTGTCACTGCTGGAATTTCACACACTTTGGAGCAGACGCATGAAGGGGCAATAATTCTGAAATGCATGGTGGTGGGAGGAGGAGAAGCAAGGGAGACCTGGGGGGAAAAAAAGGTGAAAGAGAGACAAACCGGAACATCCTCTTTTGTGGGTGTGCCGTGGTGCACAAGACAACTCTACCGTTGACACCAAGCCTTTACACAAAAGGGGGAAACCTTGCAGGAATCCGCTCTAAGGAATGAGGCACCGATCCGACGCACAAACCCACATGCACACTTTCCAAGAGTCTCAGAAAGCCTAGCAAAGACAGGATCTCTACTCTGTTGCAATGATAAGGGGAACAGTCCGGGATCCATTGCACCGTGTCTTGATCTAATCCGGTGATCCTGGGAGCTTTGAAACCTAAAACAACAGTAGGAACCGTCCAAACCATTAAACAAGATTGGGGCTTCAGGGGACCCCCAGCATAGGCACCTCCTGCAACCTAAGATCCCAAATGAAAGATTTGGGGGGGTGGGTCTGATTCGTTCCATAATTATAATACGGATTTCACAATGCTCCATTCACCACCACCCCACTCCTCAAATCCCCAGAAGAATAGGGAGATCATAAAAACCCAGGGGCATCTAACCCACCCATCCACCCCCCACAATCCTATATAAAGGACCCTCTTTCCCTTTCCTATCCATGAAGCCTCATTCCTTAGAAGCCATATTAAAAAGAGGGGGGGGAGAGAAGATTTAATATTTATTATTTTCACAATGAAATCTATCCTCATGGAACTGGCTGTATTGGGAAGGGGGGGAGCCATTTCATCTCCAAAAATTAAAAGGAGACTCCAGGCTTGGGGGG